GTGCATTCAGTGTCTCCACCCTCTGTATGCAGACACTGAACTTTCCTCATAGAGATGCACTGATTCAATGCATCTCTATGAGGAGATGCTGATTGGCCAGGGCTGTGTTTGGCTCTGCCCCCAGCCCACCTCTTTGGCTGAGATCATCAGAATTTATGATCTAAGCCAATCAAATGCTTTCCTATGGGAAAGCATTGCAATTGACTGAGATCATCACTTCTGATTATGTCAGCCAAGGATGCAGATCAGGGGCAGAGCCAGCACAAACCGACTGGAACAAAGGTATGATTTTACTATATTTAGGGGAGGCAGGGGGCTAGTGTTTTAACACTATAGGATCAGGAATACAGATTTGTGTTCCCAACCCTATAGTGTTCCTTTAAAGCTCTAGAGAAATAGGAATGTATGTTTAGGGTAACAAAAATACAACACCTTAATACGTTGTGTACAATAATGTTCACATGATTATTCACTTACTTGGGAATTGTTGAAATTCCATCTTTTTTTCTTTTATTTAAAGTCAAAACTGAACTTGAATTCTTCAAATAAAGATATTTTTATAGTTCTGCTATTTTTGGCATAATACGTGTTTTTTCTCAACAACAATTCTCAAGTGACTCGATAGACCTGTCTGTTTGGAATTATTCATGTAAAACTGTAAAATAGATGTTAACTAAACATATAAAATACCTGCAATCTGTACTTACAGAAGAAATCGTGTATCCAGCTCCTATTGTACCATGTTGTGTTTGGTGTTTGCTGGGAGCCCCTCACTAACACAGATGGACAGCTACCACAAGAAGTACAGAAACACCAAGAAGGGACATCAAACTCTGCCCCCAAGATGTCGATTGTCTATAACACCCAGAATTCTTTGAATGCAATAGATCGCCAGAGATTAATGGGATTTGTACCTTTGGAAAATCTAGGGGACTGGAAATTGAGATGCCGGACATAGAAAAGTACAGCAGCAGATCGCATTTGTGTTTGAAATGAATTTATGTTACACTTATACAAATCTGATTTATTTACGTGTAAGATGAATACAATGATATTTCTATGATACACTCTGTATCCGTTTAAACTCGTTTTCACAAGGTTTTCAAACCTTAGTAAGACACAGGTAAGAGAGAGGTGATTCCTGATAATCGCTAAGGTTTGTGACCTTGAATGCAGAGATCCTAGCGGTTTGCTTTTGGAATTCAATATACATACAATTTGTATGTATTACTTTAAATATGAAAGCAGGGAAGACTGAAATGGCAACAGGCAAAGAATTAAAACTGCTCATTTGAATGTTAAATACCCTGAGCTGGAAGTTGAACTAAGGCAACTATCTCACCTGAAATCTCGTAAGGTATTCTGAGAGCAAGGTCATCTCTGTCTTCCCTGAATCTTCACTTTTGGTTTCTGACACCTCAGCGCTTTCAGACGCAGTGTTTTCTGGTTGTTTTGATAGTGCATCATCCAAGCATTGCTTTAGCTTGTCAATCTGAAAATTCAAAATATAGTAAATATAAAAAGGAGCATACAGAAGAAAAAAATAACTACAATCTGGATGATGGAAAGGTTATTTTCTTTACAAAAAAAAAAAAAAGAGTATTTATGTATTTAGCTAAAAAAGGGGATTGTAAAAAATTAAATAAAAAAATGGTTTGTGTAATTAGCCAACGAAATAAGGCATGGACCACATTTTGTGTAAATGGGAAGTCGTCACACAGAGAAGAACTATGAATGAGGGCACCTCCAGGCATTCCAAATCCAATCAGGGAGGGAGGGGAGGGAGATGATTTGATGGGAGGGAGATGATTTGATGGGGGGGAGATGATTTGATGGGAGAGAAGGAGGGGGGAGATGATTGATTGGGGAGATGATTGATGGGGAGATGATTGATGAGAGGGGAGATGATTGATGGGAGAAGATTATGGGGAGAAGAGAAGATTATGGGGGGAGAAGAAGAGAAGATTACGGGGGAGAAGAAGCGATTACAGGGGGGAGGGGAGAAGATTACGGGGGGAGGGGAGAAGAAGACAAGATTACAGGGGGGAGAAGAAGCGGAGAACACAGGGAGGGGGGGAATAAGAGGAAAACACGGGGGGAGAAGAAGAGGAGAACACGAGGGGTGGGAGATGAGAAAGTAGGGGAGGGAGAGACCACTAAAGGAGGGAGGGGGCAGTGGAGAGACCGCTAAGGGAGGGGGGTGGAGGATAGACAACTAGGGGAGGGTGGGGGGAGAGGAGAGACCACTAATGGAAAGTCGGGGAGAAAAGGAGAGCACTAAGGGAGGTGGGGGGGAGAGGAGAGACCACTAAGGGGCAGGGGAGATCTCTAAGAAATGGAAGGAGAGCTCTATAGGACAGGGGACAGGGAGCTCTTTCACACCACACGCACACACACACACACACACCCAGAAACACAACATGCTTCCCTTACAGAGAAATACACAATGCAACCCTTACACATAAAGACAATGCATCCGTTGCACATATACACAGAACACACACAATGCATCCCTTACACACACATGCAAACACACACTGTTTCTCTTACACACACACACAGAAACACAATGCATCTCTTACACACACTCAACACACCCCTTTCAGACACACACACTGCATCCCTTACATACACAGAAACATACTTTGCATCCCTTATGCATACAAACACAGATTCACACAATGCATCCATAACACACAACAAGAAACACACAATACATCCCTTATACACAAACACTCACTGCTTTCTATCCCTTACACAAACAACACTGCATCACCTACACAAACTGGTATCCCTATACACTACATTCCGTAAGCACACACATTAGATCCTCTACAGTAACACATAACACATAACACATCCCCTACCCACTCTACTCCCTGTGAGTTCATGGGTGGAACATGTAGGTGGCCTTATGGGTGGGCTTTATGGGCATACTCACCGTCAGGCCCTGGGGCCCAGACCTTGAGCTATGTAAGAGGCCCCAAAAATGGAGCTGCTTCCCGTTCTCCCAGAACATTGAATTTTGTGACCACAGTTGCAAACAGCCTCCAGAGATCCTGTTCTAGACCAGTGGAGCCAGACTGCAGCCAGATCAGGATCACCATCCTCATCTGATTGTAAGTAGGCAATCTAGTATATTGTTAGTGACACTAATCTCTAATTTACCTCACATTAAATGGACACTATAGTCCCCAGAACCACTGCAGCTTAATAAAGTTGTTCTGGTGTCTATAGTTTGTCCCTGCAGGCTTTTTAATGTAAACACACACTGTGTGCAGCACTGGCATTAGTTCATATGGGTGGGGCATTGCGATGTTCCGGTGGGGGGGGGCGGCAAATCTTTCTTTTGCCTAGGGCGGCAAAAATCCTTGCACCGGCCCTGCCCAGGAAGGATCTCTAACAGCCATCTGAGGAGTGACCAGTGACGTTATCATTAGGCTGTAATGTAAACACTGCATTTTCTCTGAAAAGACAGTGTTTACAGCAAAAAGCCTGAAGGTAATGATTCTACTCACCAGAACAAATTCAATAAGCTATAGTTGTTCTGTTGACTATAGTGTCCCTTTAATTCAACATGATGAATGTTAAACACAAATGCTTTTGATAAATGTATATATTTCTGATAAATTGTACATTCAGGCACAGCTGTCTTACATTTTGTTGTCGTAGCATAGGTACTGACAACATATATACTGTAATAGATTACATTATGAGACATTCAGGTTTGACGATAATTAATGTTCAATGATTTTTTAATAGGTCTGTTTTCTATACAGATGGTACAATGGTTTCGCTCGATTCCTATAAATATTGACATATTGTATATTAAAACATTGTAATCTTTAACATGGATGCATTATGGATCTTTGTATTTACCATGCCTTTATTTTAATCACACTATACCCACCTGGTGTTTGTTTGTATGCTACAGATTTTTTTCATTTCATATTTTTTAATTTTAACATGCAGGGATTCATCACTTAAATTGTCAACAGGAGTTGGTAACACCTATGCAGAGGTAAATATATATATATATATATATATATATATGTATACAGGTTAACAACATACTCAAGATCTTGCATAGTTGTCTGGTAGCCATAATTGCACTAGTTGGAAAATTAGATGAGGGCATATAATATATAATAACATAAGCATGCAAATTGTAAGATAGGCAAAATTAATAGGATACAATCTACACTTAAGAAACAAATATCAATAAATACACCAGTTGTGAAAAATAAATAATAATGAGCTTGAAAAGGTTGTTACCACTGCTAATGAGATGTTGAACCTCCAGAGGGTGGCTGATGTGTACTATAGCTGTTGCTGCCGCCCAGGAGTAATGGGAATTTGAGCGCAGGGCTTATTTTTGTATATTGTATTTGCTTTTGTATTACACAGGCATGTTAGAGTGCTGCCACACATACTGCCAGCTTTGGCAATTCGGCCCAATGGCATTCGGTTTGGTTCAGCACTTCGGAACTGCCAAAAGTCGTCACTTCGGACATTCGTAAGCATCTGAATGTCCAAATGGCATGAAATTCGTACAAATGTACATTCGGAACAAAACAAATTGCATGTCCTTCAGGGTACACTGGCAGCTGCGATGTGACGCGTACTGGATATGGCATCATTGCACAAAATGAATTAGCTTATTGGGCAAGATTCCTGTCATCATTTACTCAATTTTCCCTCCCTCTTGTTTTGACACTTTTCAGAAATCCTAATCACTTCGGCGCTTCGGCACTTCCCAACTACCAAACTTCGGAGCTTCGGGACTTCAGCACTTCAGAAATTCATAAGCATCCGAATGTCTGAATGGCATGAAATTCGTACGAATAGTACATGTCTACATAGTACTCAACTCCACCTGCCTCGTGCCCCAGCAAGAGCCTGTATGCAATGTCCACTGGTCTGCACTGGTGTATTTAGCCCAAGGCAAATGCCTAGTTTGTCTTGGGCTAAATACACCAGTGCAGACCAGTGGACATTGCATACAGGCTCTCGCTTGGGCACGAGGCAGGTGGAGTAGAGTACTATATAGACATGTACGATTCGTTTCGCAGCACTAACCAGGGGGCGGCAAAATATGCAGCCCCCAAATGCCCACTTGGGCTTCCCTGGTGTCCCCCCTATTCCTGGGGTCCAGTTGGGCTGCTGGGAGGCGTGCGGCTGTGTTCGAATCATAGGCTGTGATCTCCCTGTTCTGCTCCCTCGCACACCATTTGCTGATGCCTCGGGAGCCAGAATATGATGTAATTCCGGCTTCCTGCATCAGTAGATGGCCCGCAAGGGGTGAGGGAGCAGAGCAAGGGAGATCACAGCTCCCTCACTGCCTCTGATTCGAACACAGCCGCACACCTCCCAGCAGCCCCACCGGACACCCAACGACAGATCTACACCAGCTCTCCAGGTAGGGAGGCTGGGTGGAAAATGTTAATTTATAATAATTGTACTAATTTGTGAGTGTGGGTATGTGTGTGTGTATGTGTGTGTATGTGTGTGTATATGTGTATGTGTGTGTGTATGGGAGTGTTTGTCAAATCAGTGAGAGTCTGTCAATGAGTGTCTGTCAGTGTTTGTGTGTCTGTTAGTGTGTGTGAGTGTGTTTGTGTCTGTTAATGAGTGTGTGTCAGTGAATGTGTGTTTGTCAAATCAGTGAGTTTGTATCGGTCAATGATGTCTGTGTGTGTGTGACTGTCAGTGTGTATCTGACAGTGTGTGTCAGTCAGTGAACGTGTGTGTGTCCAATCAGTGAATCTGTGTCTGTCAGTGACATCTGTGTGTTTGTCATTGAGTGTATGTGTGTGTGTGTGTGAGACTGTCAGTGTGTATCAGCCAGTGTGTGTCTGTCAGTGAATGTCTGTCAGAGTGTGTGCTTAAAGGGACACTATAGGCACCCAGACCATTTCAACCCATTGAAGTGGTCAGGGTGCTGTGTCCCAGTCCCCTTAACCATGCAAGTGTAATTATTGCAGTTTCTCAGAAACTGCAATAATTACATTGAGGGGGGTGTCCAGGTTTAGTCATGCCTAGAGCAGCACAAAACCAAAATACACCACTGCTGGTCTGACTACCTCTGGCACCCCGATTGATGATTCAGTGGGATGCTGTCAAATGACATTATTGAATGTAGACACTACAAAGATGAGGGCCATGTACCAGGGGCAATGGGTATCATTCATCTGGTACCAAAAACACAACTATAATGGACCGTTTTGCTCACCAGAGGTTAAAAACCGTTTAGGCGATATTCCCCTTTCCAGATACACCTACAGCTACTGTAAGCACCGATCTCCCGAACTGTAAACACATGAACACTGGAAATATCCAAACAGGAAAACCATACAAAAGGGTTACACTCCTGGCAGTCAGCATACAATCCAATTCCCCCAATAACGAGACGACACTTCGTTTTGAGGGTTAAGCAGAATCTCCAGATTTATTCATACAACCTCCTTTTAAGACATTCTCCCATGCAAGGGA